GGTTCAGATATTCAAATTCCATTTTCAGACACTATCTTCTTAACTAGTTGTTTGCTTCCTGAATCTACTTTTCTCCACCCCCTGTGCTTGATAAGGAGCAGTATTTAAGGACACCACTTGTGTCCTAATCTTTACTATTTGTAAAGATTTACTTTTTACCTTTACTATTGTCCCATAGACTTAATAAGGATACAGCAATCATATACAAACCAAAACCATTAATAAAGACAAGGTGCATAGATAAAGATCAATTGGCCACTTGCAGAATTTGTTGCTTGTCATTGGAATTGTTAAATTTAATGACTACATGTCTTGGAGTTTGAAGCATAGAGGTCTCTCTCTTTCTGTGTTTGTCTGTCTGTCTGTCTCTCTCAATCTCCCTCGCCTCCCACAGGAAGTCTGGATTTTTTAGACTGGTGCTTTGTTTCCTGTTTTCAGAAGTTTTAGGTACTTATATTATTTCCTGCATTATGATGTCCAGGTGTTTTGATTTGTCCCATTCTTCTGGTAGACCAATTGATCCTTATCTATGCACCTTGCCTTTATTAATGGTTTTGGTTTGCACATGAATTTAAAAAAAAAAACTTTCTTGCCTCTTGCTCCTTTTCTATCAGATTTTTCTCTCTACTTTAGTGTTTTTATATTCTTTATAGCAAAGTCATATTTATATATTTATATTTGGCATTTTTATATTCTAATTGTTACTCTTTAATTTCTTTGGAGAAATTCTCCACTATGGATTGAAATTTTTTTTTGTCTTATTGCCAAGTTTTGGGGTTTTTTTTTTAAGCATTTAGAGCTATAACATCTGACATATTCATTCCTAATTTCTTCTTGTGGATTTGTCTTTTATATCATCCTTAAATTTTTTGTTCCATGCTCCTTTGGGATTTCCCAGGATCCAGTGTTTCATTAGACATTGGTTAATGCTCTTCTTGTAATGTTTATTAAAAGTTTTGTAATCTCCTTGAGGATTTAGTACTTATCTTTCTTTCTAGTTTAGGGATCCCCTCTGTTGATTTATCTGCTTGTGCTCTGGGTTTGGAGTTTTGAGAAGTCCTTGGTGTCTTAGCCCTTTTGCGTTATGTTCCCATTTCACTCACTTAATGGTTGTACATGCCATAGGTGTACACACTAGGGCTGAATGGGAAAGTTGTCTCCATCTCCTCCCACTTGGGTTTAACTGTCTTTGTTTCCAATCCTTAGTAGATCTAGTTCTCTGGGGGTCCAGGACTGTCTCCTTTCCTTCTGACCCAGCAAAGTCACTCATGTTGGCCCTCTTTCCCATCCTTTCTTGCTGGGGTGAATAAGCATGTTATTTTTTTTAAAAGGGTTGTAGGAAGGTGTTCCAGAGACTCTGCAACATTGAGCTCCTAACCTAGGGACCGCTTCAGGCAGACGGTAGCATGCTCTACCCATTCTTATATGGATAGGCAGAATTAGTGTCTGCTGCTTATTGTGAGTTTGGGGATGAGCAGGAGATAAAGGGTGCCAGCTAAGTCTTTGAAGCGGGAGGAGATCCCATTGTGAGCCCTAGACCCAAGTCCATGGGTCAGTTTGTGCTGGTGCATCCCAGCCAGGAATGTGAAGGTTCATTGGGGAGGGGTATTGAAAGAGTGCTTTAAGAGTGTTCTCTAAAGCCAATAAGAATATTTTACTTTGTTGAAGTTTATTCTTTTTGTTCTGTGGATTCAGCTGTAATTGCTTCAGATCTGGCACACAATCCTTTAGGAGAGGTTGGCGTTGTGAGTTAGTGGGGACTGGGAAAAGTATCTAGTTCATTCATCATCACATTAGCCATGCCATGTAGCCCAGAAGTGAAGCATTAACCTTTAAAATAAAAATTTATAGTTCAGACTAGACTTAGTAAACTGGCCTCCTTTTGTATGATGTGAAGAAATGTTTTGCTAAGCAAACTAATATTACCTTCAGTAATAAAAACATTCTAAAATCTTGTTCACAATTACAGTATAAAGCTCCATCCTTTGAATGTCATCATCGATCTGTGTATTTGGCTTAACAACAAAGATCATTACCTCTCTTGATTCTTATTCACATCATCCCATAAACTGTTCACAGGGGACCCACTCAAGGCTCTGGGCCTTTCTCTAGATTTCTATCACATAGGAGGTAGTATGGTATTGTGGAAAGACCTTTGGCTCCGGAGTTGGAGGACGAGTTTAGCAGCCTTCTGGTGTTTACTATTGTTGTACCCTTACTCTCTTGGACCCATTTCCTCATTCTTATAACAAGGGGCGTCTAGCTCTAAACATATGATCATATGACATCAGTGAAACCTGTGGACTATGGAGGCAGCTATCTCTCACAACATGTCCAGTCCATCTCCTTTTCTGACCATCTATCTCTAAAGCTATCTTTCGTATGCTCCTCCTACATGATTCTTTGTTGGTAATGAGCCACTACCTATTCATGTTTGCCATTCACCTCTTCGCCCATTGGGTGATTTTGAAGATTTTGGTTTTCTATGAGCTGCAATCAGAAAGCATCATTTCAAGTCTATTAAATTCTTCTTAGTGATTATACATCTCATTTAAGAACCTCTGCAGTGTCCCCAGTCTTGACAAAATCAGCACAATGCCTTCTGCACACAGGAAGACTTCACTGTACAAACATTTTCTGTACCTTTCAGTCAACTGATACCAGAAAGATGTGGAATGATAGAGTTCGCAAAAGTCTATGTATTCCCTTCTCATGCCTTCTTCAAGGGCACCCTCAATAAGGTTGCTGCTTATTCTGATAAAAATCTTATAGAGATGAAAAATATGGGTTGCTAGTTATTTTCTCAATTTTTTTTGCAATAGCAATGAGGAATATTTTTCTATTTATTTCAAATATCTTGGGGATAAAATAAACCCCAATGCCTTCAAAGATCTGCTTTGAGAATATGTTCTATCCTGAGGGATCTTTCGCTTTGTTTTCTATAACGTCAGGGGATGTTAGTCAACCAGCATTCCTTGAACTTTTACTGTGTGTTAGGTATTGTGGTAGGGACTGGGGACACAAAGGCCTAGATAGTTCCTGTCCTCAATGACCTCACATTCTGATGGGGAAATGATGTGTAAATAGGTACATGCAAGAAAGAGTAGATGAAAGATAATCTCAAAAGCAGATTAGGATGGGGTGGGGAGAGAAAGCCCACGAAAGGCCTGTAAGATTTGAGTTGTCTTAAAGGAAGACAAGAAAACTCAGAGGTGGATGTAAGGACAGAGTTCAGGTAGGGGGAACTATTACAAAAGTCTTGGAACAGGAGATAGCGTATCTTGTGTGAAGAACAGCAAGTAGGCCAGTGTTGTATTTTAGAGCGTGTGGACTAAGGAAGGCGTAAGAGGCAAGGTTCTAAAGTTTTAAATGACAAAGGCTTAGCCAAGAAGGGAAGGAGAGATGATGTGGTTATGGTTGGACTACATAAGTGTTTTTTAAGGATGAGGAGATGTGTGCATGTTTGTAGGGCAGCAGAACCAGTAGAGAGGAAGAGACTGAAGAATTAGTGGGAGGAATCTGTTGGATCCAAATCTGATTGCTCTACTGTCAATGGAATAAGAACTTTTGCAAATCTTTAACATACATATTCTCCATTTCTCATCTTTGTTGTGAACCGATGTTCATACTTAATTCCTTTTCAGATGACATTTATTTGGATTGTTTCCCAAGGTTTTGGCAAACTTGTTTCCTGTCACTGATTTTCATTAAGTAGTATTGCTTATAATTGGCTATCTTATTAAATTTTTATTAAATTGAACGTTGAAATTCAACCCCACTTCTACATCAACGTGAATAGATATGTTCTAAGCTCAAGGAGTTTAATCTAGTTCAAATAGTCACATTTGCTTAAGGAGTGATTCCTTACTGCCAGAAGGAATAACCATACTGTAGAAATTCTAGCCTGTATGAAAGATGATCCTAGCTGAATGATAGAGCTGTTCTTTTCTATTTCAAACTTTGTAAGGTTTTGCCAACAAATCTATGTTCTCAACTGGGGCTGCCCTTGACTACCAACTTTTTTTTCACTTGGCAAGTATAAGTGCTTATTGGCTGAGTGGCAATTTGTAGTATTTTCTGTAGGTCTCCTCTGTAATTTTTTTTTACATCAGTTAAATTTCAATCTGAATGGTGACAGTCTGTGTCCATAACAGATTTTTTATCCATCTCCCATTTTCCAGTGTGAACAGCTTGTTTAGATCAATAGGTTAGGTTGGATCATCTCAAATATCATCTCATTTTGGCATTGACGTTGATTTTTGTCCTAACGTCAATGATGCGTACAGAGAAATGACTCCCCCACTGTTTATCAGAACAAAATCAATTTTTTTTGTGCGCGAGATTATGTGCAGTACTTCCTAACTCTTAAGTATGTGTGGTGCAGACATGAGGTTTTTATACAGTCTATAAAGCCTCTAGTTCCTGTTTCTTACCAAAGCATGTTTCCCAACATTTTTTTTTTGCCAGTTAACCTCTGCATTGAAACCATATGGTATGTGTTCATTTAATTTAAAAGGTTTTTAAAAGTTTTTTGCAGAATTTCTTTACCTCCTCATTGACTGGATATATGATAGGTACATGTAAAATAAGAATTATTTAATCGTTATCCTTCTGGGCACTTACTTTTAATTGCATTTTGGAATTATATTTAAAAGTAATAATACAACATTCTTTTAAGGTATATTTCACAACTCACTATTTTAAAATGGACTTTCTTTAATCAGAAGCTTCTGGCAATTCAATTTGCAGGTAGATTTTAGACACATTACTCATAAAGTGATGCTTTGCCAAATCAAAGTTTTATTTTTGTAGTTTTAACATTTTAAAATTGTTATAAAAGACTAAAGTTTTTGTTCATAGATACTTTAATCTTAAATCCCAGGACTTAAACATCACCTTTTAAATCAAGATTGTAAATATTACTATCATGTGTTGTTAAAGCCAAAAATATTTGTGGAAAATTACTACTTTTTGAAGTTACTTTTTTTCTTTCATGATAGGCAGAAAGAGTACAGAACAAGGCCTGGTGATGTCAAGGTTACCAGTGTTCTCAATCCATGAAAAAAATGACATTAAAGGCACATTTGACTTCTTGGGATTAGGTCACTTTACTACTCGATACATCACAGAAAAGAAGCATCCTTCCCGTCAAGGGCCCAGCTATCAAAACGATCGTGATACAGCAGAATTAGTTGACCCAAACTGGTCAGATTTAGGCTCTAATTGGCCACATTTGGTGCCATGGGGATTTAGGAGGCTCCTCAACTTTGTTCAGGTAATTATTACAATGCATTTTTTATAGGAAGTTACTAAAGATCCTTGTTCTGATAAAAAAAAAAACACAGACAAAAACTGTATACAGCCCTCTTCCAACTATTCTCTAAACATAAAATATGCTTCTTGGTATACATAAAATTCTAAACAGAGTTAGGATATTGGTAGGTTCAACCAAGAGTACACATAGTTACCTGCTATTACTCATCTGACTCAAAAGCCAGCATTTTAGATATTCTCTACATATTTTTCCCATCTGACCCCCAACACCTTCCATAGCTGGTTCAAACATTAATTTGTCTTTTCAGACACAATATGGCAATCCTCTCATTTATGTGACAGAAAATGGTGTGTCTGAAAAGCTAAATCATATTCAGTTGTGTGATGAGTGGAGAATACACTACCTCAAAGGATACATTAATGAAATGCTAAAAGGTGAGAATTAGTTGTAAACATTTTATTTTTTTAATTCAAAAAGTGTTGTTTTCATCTAGGTATTTTGGTGACTCACAAACTCATCATGGGTCAACAATACCATATGGCTACTGAAAGAACAAACACTACCCTAGAATATGATCAGAGAGGTACAGTGTCTGGAACATACGCAATAATCCCATCCTACTCAGCCCTGATGATATGACGAGTGTAGTATTGTATTCAGTGAGTTGTCATGTTTCAGGAAGGACAATGATAAAATGAAGAGCATCCATAGAACCAGGATAGGAAAAGGCCTCAAGTTCACAACACATGAATTATCAAGAGAAGGGACTGAGGACACTTATACTGGAGAAGACACGATAGAGGGACAGCAGTTTCATAACAGAACATGATAGTTGCTTTCAACTAGATGAGCAGATGTCATATGGAAGACTGAATTTGCTGTTTGTCCCAGAGGGCAGAACCAGAAAAGCAGATTTAGGTTAGCTATAATGAAAACTCCTCCAAACAGTTAAGAGACATCCAAAAGTGCAGTTGCTCTGGCTCAGGAGGTCATGGGTTCTCCCTCACTTTGCTGCTTCAAATGTTCAAGTCCATTTATTCAGGATGTTACAGAGGCAGTTCTCCAAAAGATAATCTCAAGAGTTCACAAGGAACTCAAAAGTCATCTCATACATTTATACTTGAATAATCCCCTCTGAGCTAGAGAGTAAACTAGATACCTTCTGTGGCCTCCTGCAATTCTTGATTCTATAAATGTTCAGGATTTGATAAAATTTCAGGAAATGTAGTTTTAATACATATTTTCACTGAACCATATAGGCTGAAGTAAATGTTAAAATTATTTTTAATGGAAATTTGTTTTCAGCTATAAAAGATGGTGTTAATGTAAAAGGATATACTTCCTGGTCTCTGCTTGATAAGTTTGAATGGGAAAATGGATACTCACACAGATATGGACTCTTTTATGTTGAATTTAACAACAGGAATAAACCTCGATATCCTAAGGCTTCAGTTCAATACTATAAAAATATCATCAGTGCAAATGGATTTCCTAATCCAATAGAGGTGAGATGATCTGATGTTCATTCTAACTCATAACAAGGCAACCAGAGGGGACGGCAACAGGTATTCTCTTCCAACCCCCCCTTTTTTTTGGCAGTGGGGGTTAAGTGACTTGCCGAGGGTCACACAGCTAGTAAGTGTCAAGTGTTCGGTCTGAGGCCACATTTGAACTCAGGTCCTCCTGACTTCAGGGCCGGTGCTCTATCCACTGCGCCAACTAGCTGCACCTATTCTCTTCCCTTCTATGGTTAGTTATGCAGAGTTATCAGAGCTTTGACCCTGCCACCCCTCTATCACCAGTTCCTAAGTTATTAAATAAGTCAGGACTGGAACAAGTCTTCTTGACCCCCAAGTCTATATTCTGTCCATAATGCCACGATGTCGAAAATGAATACCATTTAAAAAAAAATCGAATACAAACAATGCCTACTCATGAATACAGATGGTTTATTGATATACTAATAACAAAAAGACAATTTAGCATTATACGAATGGTTATGTGGTAAGCTAACTAAAGCAAAGGATATGACTACTGTTGTCTATCACATTTCTAAAAATAAGATACCTTGCTGTTTCTGAATCAAGATTGTCCAGTCCATCCCACCAGATGGTTCCAAAACTTTTGGTGGGGAAAATATACTAAATTCTACTTTTAAAGGTTTTAAAGTTTTTACTGGGAGACTACAAGGTGAGAAAATAGCAAAGGAAAAGAGACTTTAAAATGTCACATACTCTGTTCTATGATTAATAAAAAACACAGGAATAAAAAAATACAAAGAGGCCAGTTGTTTTTTTAGATTTTAAGCAACTTGAGGGCAGGGGCTTTGTTTAGTTTCAGCTTTGTACTTGCACCTAGCACAATGTTATACAAAACAGAAGGATAAAATACAACCTTCTCTGTTTAACATTTAAAGCCCATCACAATCAGGCTCCAGACTGTTATTTCCATGTTGCTTACACCTTGCATCACCCCCTCCCAGGCTATATGATCAGCCAAACTGTACTATTTGCCATTCCTCACTTGTGACATTCCATCATCTACTCTATGCCTCTGCTACAAGCTGTTCCCCATATCTGGAATGCTGTCTTTCCTCACTTACACATTTTTGAATACCTAGTTCTCTTTGCGGTCCTTCAAGAGGGCTTCCCTGATAGTTGTCAGCACCACCCCAATATTTTTTATGTATCCTGTACTTACTTATCTGCGAACATACTACAGCTCTCCAGTAGAACTCAAAATTCCTTAAGGGCAGAGGCTGTCTCATTTTTATTTTTGTATAACCTGAAGGCAAGGAACAGAACTTTTAAAAAAAATATTCCACCCAGTGCCCTGCACAGGGAACACTCAGTAAGTATTTGCTGATTGATTTAAACAGGCTAAAACTTTGACTATTACGAAACTATTACTTATCAAGGTAATCTTATCAGGTGGAGAGATGGTACAGCATAGCCACTGAAACCTGTTCTCACCAACCAGATCCTTGCTGCAGGTAAATATTTTATCCTTATCTTTGGCTCACTAAATGACATGATCAGATCCAGAATAACACAATTATATGTTTCTCAAGTCAGTTTCTAACATCTATTTAAAATAAAAACAAATTCTTACTTTACCTATAAGCAAATACTAAATTGCTAATTATAAAATCTTAAATGAAAAAGAATTAAAATGAAATTAAATTAAAAGAAAAAGAAAATAACATAATTGCTATAAATCCAAAAGAAGTGTTTCTATGACACTACATTGCTCCTAATAAATCAAACTGATGCATACTGAAAGCCAATGAAAACTAAGAAACTTGTGGTTTTTTACTAGCTGGACCCTTTTTTTTTTTTTTAAGGAAGTAGGTGATATAAAAAAATGGCACCAAACTGAAAACATACAAAGGAGCACTTCGTATGTTGCACGTCAGCATTTCTAATGCAATAGTAACTAAAAGGATTATAGGTAGATCTGTCTCTAAACTTTCGAATTAGGAGGTTTAGGTAAAAACTTACACAGAACCCATGTAAAAAAAGAAAGAATAAGAAACCATAGCTTACTAAAAGAAATGCTATGTGTTGCTATGGATTTTAATACGTTTAACTCAGCATAAGCATAACTGTAAAGCTAGCCTGTCATTTAAAAATCTGCTAAAAATGTCTATTTGATATGGAAAATACTAAATCACATTAAGGCACCGATTTGAAACACAGGAGCTGATAAGATAAAAATAGAAAATGAGATAGTATAGTATTAATATCAAAAGGTAGTGTTAAATATTCCAATAGCATAAATACAGACTAATACTGAACTCCCTACTAAGCTGAAAACATACTCTAAAGGCATTTATTGTTCAATTACTGAGGATGGTATACTTAACATCTAATACTTAATGTTAATTCCTCACAAAGTCTGTTTAACTATACTTCTGTTATTAACAATACCACCTTCAAAAGGTTCTAAGTGCTTCCAAGGATTTTCTTCTGGCAATTTTCCTTATTTCTCCCCAAGTTTTATGTCTCCTTTCCCCCCTCTCCCCAATGAAAGTGAGAAGCACAGTGGAATATTTTGCTAATATTCAGAGGTGGATTCACAGACGGAAAAAATGAGAATTTGCATGCTTTTAAGAAGCAAAGATATGTTTTAAAACTTTTCTAAATTTAAAAGGCATTAAGTCCCAACTTTGCTTTCTATTTTCTATAAATCATTTTAATGAATGTTAATACACTTAATTCCCAATATTTAACTAATTATCTAGGTATCAGTTTATAGTAAATATAAATAGCTGAAAATGTGAACTGATTTTTTTAAGGTTTTTCCACACTACTGACCTTTCAGTAAAGTTACATTAACTGAAATGATGACATATTGACTTATGGTCCCTGTCTTCTTACATTTCAGAGCCCTTGTTACATCACATGCAAATGGTTACAGAGATTGTGGTGCCTACAGTCTGCACACTATGCATACTTATAAGTGCAGTTCTACTGATGTTCCTTCTTCGGAGGCAAAGCTAAGAAAAGATTACTGATAAAAGGTTACTAACAAAATAGCTTCATTCCATATAAAGTTTAGTGTCTTCATCTTCATTTGGTTTCAAAGGCCTGCAGAGTTTCCTTTTTGGTTACTGTGATGATAAAGAAATTATTTTTACATACACATAACTGACACTACTTCCAACATACAGTGTCATAAAAGCAATTTGGATTTTAGTCAACTTGCATCTATTTCTTTAAAATGCTGCAAATACTATTATTCAAACTATAGAAAAACCTAAAATTCATGTTAAAGAGATATACCTTGAGGTAACAAATGATTACACAATCTCAGCCAATTCCATTCACTAAAGTACTTCAACTATTTTTGAATGCTTATATTTCAGGTGAAGCTTACGTTTTCTCTCCAGTTAGAAATTGTTTCTTAAAAACATACAATGGTAACAAAAGGAAAAAAAATGGCTAATTTTTTTCTTTTAGAACATCATATCCAAACCACAAACCACATCATCTTGGACAAAGAGAGCCATCTTAGGGAAGACCAAAAATGTCAAGCCTTTTAGTTCCCATGTGAAGCTGAGTGTTATTAACTATCTAAAAAAATAATTCTTAAAGACTTAAAGTTTTACACAGATTATTTTGGTTCATTTTCTTTCAGATCAAAATCTTTTTAGAAGGGATACTTTGCATCTGGGACCTACACTAAATACTTAACTACTTATATGAATCTTACCTCATTGAAGTGGGTATTCTAGCCAGAAATGACTTACTTTTGCAAAATAGATGAGTGAACTGTTTATCTTCAGCAGAACTTTGATAAATTTCTAAATACTTTTTCAATTTTTTTATCACTAATTTATATTCTGACATCATATAAATGTTCTTCTATCATGTTTCAGCCCTCTGCAAAGCTTAAACTGTGAAGTCAAAATGCTTAATGTTTTGTGTCTGAGGGAACTATAAAACCAATTTGTCAAGGTTAACTGCAATAAATGAAAAGGCAATCAAAGCTCTGTGTGCTTGGAAATAGGTTTGCCTTTGGACAAGTTACTTCTGGGACTCTGGATGACCTATAACGTTCCTTCCAGCTCTAAATGACAGAATCATGAGTATCAAGTATTAGAAGGTTATATTAAACACAATAATTACATATTGCATTAAATCAGCACTACATTTTGTGAAGAACCACCTAGGAGGATTCTTGCTCGCAAACTTCAAAACGTGAAGAAAAAAGACAACATAAATAAATACCTCTTGCAAGATGATATCAACATACTTTAAGTGAAATGCACTTTGCTGCAGGCAACCATGTTAGTGAAATACATTTTTTCTTCAAGAATACTGTTGAATGTTGACTCAGACAGATCTGCAACAAAAATGAAATTTCAGTGACTAGAGAAGCACTTAAAAGAATGGTAAGTTCTGCCCACTTTCATAATTAAGAGAAAAACTGCTTTCATTTCATTGTAACACTCAAAGTTTGAATGACAATGTATATACTACTTTAAGAAAAAACATCTAAAAACCTAAATTTACAAAGTAGTTAGATTAGGTGATTACTTGAATGAAAAAAAAAGATGCCTTCTTGATACATCTGAAATATAATACAATTTACTTAAATAACGGTAGAGCAAAGGGGTAAAAAAGTTCATTTTAATTTATTCACCCAATATCATAATCTTTATGCCACATTTAAGAAGGTGTTCTTTCCAATTTTAAAATTCACAAAGAAAGTATGATGTACTAAAAATTCAAATTCTTAGGCTTACATATTTTCTATTATTACTATTACCTTTTCCTTAAGACAGATAACAAACAGTTCAATTAGCATTTAGATAGAATCTAGCCAGGAACCTTTGATTTTCTATATTATTAAGCATTTACTGCTAATCATCAGTGCAAGGCACTACAATACAAAACCAAGCCATAGTAATAATGATGATAATAACTAGCTTTTCAAAAGCTCTTTAACTGTCTGCAAAGCACTTTACAAAACTTCTTATTTGACCCTCCCAACAAGCCAGGGGGTACACAGCCTAGAAGAGTCACCTCCCTTCCCTACAGTAAACCAGTTCAACTCTACACTGAGCCCATTTGTATCCTTATCCTATCACTGATAATGCCTTACACCAAGCCCAAACTGTGAATTACTTCCATCATACTCTGATTTTCTTATTTACGTGCTGCTAAATGGAAATGGAGAAAAATCACGAAACAACATTGACTGGGTCCATATTTATAAAACAATCTGAATTGGGCCTTCACCACATCAAAGTACTCCTCTTTACAATTCCCTAATATCCCACTTACCACAGCACCTTTTCCAAATTGTTTCATCCTTCCTCAAACCCTCCCTCTCAGCACCCGCTAAGAGCCTTGCTTCACTCTTCACTGAAAAAGCTGAGGCCAATTGACAAGAGCACCCTCCTCTCTCCACCTCTTCAGATGCCTCCTGCTACTATTTCTTTCACTCTTGACTCACATGAGGAGGTGTCCGTTCTCTGAGCTAAAGCATGCATTAAGATGGATTCTGGCCGCTTTATGGCCTAAATGCAGGCTCAATCCCATTCCATCTTGTTTTCTCCAGGAGATTGTACCCTCTCTATCATCCCCACTGTAATCTTCAATCTCTCCTTCTTGGCTGCTTCCCTGTTATGCTACAAAAATGGCCATGTCTTTCCCCAAACACACATACACAAAAATCCTTTTCTTGATCTACCACCATCCCCAGTATTTTCCTCTACTTCTCCTGTTTTGTGGCTAACCTCCTCAAGAAAATCATCTACCCTCTCTGTCTCCAGTTCCTCTCTTCTAAAGCCTCTGCAACCTGGTTTCTCATCACATTCTTTAGCTGAAATTTCTTTCTCCAGTGTTACCAAAGACCTTGTAATTGCCAAATATAATTAATGGCCTTTTCTTGACTCTTTGTCCAAGGCCACCTTCTTTTTGCCTTTTCTGTGTTACCTTATTTGGTAATCTGATCATGGATTCAGTTTTTCTTTGTGTCACAAGTTGCTGGACAAGAAATTCTACTCAAAAGCTCAGTCTCAGGCTAGAAGCAATGGGTGGACATTATAGAAAGCAGATTTCAGCTTCATATCAATAAAAATTTATCATGTAGAATTTCTCCAAAGTGGAGCAAGTTATCTCATGAAATAAAGTTTTCAATCAATGGAAGTCTTCAACTAGAGACTAGTTGACTGTCCGGGCAGGGATGTTATAGATATTTATGCTTCACACATGGTCTGAACTAGGTAACCTGTAGGTAGCTATAGCTAGTCAATACAGCGCTGGACACAGAGTTGGAAAAACTCAAGTTTAAATCTGGCCTCAAATACTTAGTAGCTGTGTGAACCTGGGAAAGTCCTTTAACCAATATGCCTCAGTTTACTCATCGTAAAATCTAACTCTTAGGGTTGCTGTGAGAATAAAATGTAATAATATTTATAAAATGCTTTGCAAAACAAAGTGTTATAAAAAGACTCCCTGCAGCTATTGTTATTATGACCTCCAAAGTACCTTTAAACTTTAAGATTCTATGACGTTAAAATAAAAGACACTTCACCCCAGATCCACAGAAATCATTTGTCTGGGAACCTGAAATCTCATCTTTTAGTATCACTATCAAGTTGCTAAAGCTTAAAACTGCCCCAATATTTTTCAGATACCCTGTATTTTTCTAAGACAACCTTTACCCTACCTTTAAGACGGAATGTTTAGAAACACATAATTAAAACAATTTTTAGTGGGCTATTTACCTTTACTGGCTACAGTACAGACTAGGCATTTTAAGATCAGGCCTAAGAGCCACTAAAATCATCTTTATGAGTACAGATTATTTTTCACTCTGTCTCAATAGTTTAATTAGTATAGTTCTAAACCATTCATTACCTTCTTTGCTAAAATTCAGATGGCTTATTGACGGGGTGTCACTCAGTTGCCAAAGTGTTTTAACTTCCTTCTGTCCACTATTTATTTCCACTCTCCATTTTTTTGGAGTCTCACTAATAAAAGAAAAAATGGAGAGAAAATGAAAACCAGGTTTTCATAAAGGAATTATTTCAGGATTAAAAATGCTTACCTCTGATAGAAATTTTTTATGACAATTGGTCTGATTGGCAGCTGAAACGTATGCTTCTCATTAAGAGGGTTTCTCTTATAATACAAAATGCAAGACCTATAAAAATAAAAGTGAAAAGATTAAGGTCCGTTTTAAAATAAATTTCTTAAAGTCTAAGTTTTTTAAAATGGCAAATGAATTATAAAAGTTTAAAAGTGGGAAACCTACTATAATTTGAAAAAAAGAGATAAACTGTTGAACACAGAATCATGTTTAATACATGAACCAAAGGGAGAAAAACTAATTATGCCTAGCTAGCTTTAAAATAAAAAGACGGAAGTTAAGAAATGAAGATGTTAGCAAAGAGATTTAATTAGAGAAACTTCAAAGGACTTATATGATCTGATGCAGACTGAAGTAAGCAGAATCAAGACAGCAATTTACACTATGACTACAATAATATAAAAGAAAATAACTATCAAAGACTTAAGAATTGGGATTAACCAAGTGACCAATCACAATCACAGAAGAATAACAACGAATCATGTTTCCCACCTCTGGGGGAAAAGGCAATGGACTAGAGATACAGAATGTGACATTTTCAAATACGGTCAATATGTGGAAATGTTTTGAGTAACTATCTGTTACAAGGAAGGGCTTTTTTGAGGGGTGGGGAAAGAGTTAAGGATTGAGTAGGGGAGTAATGATACTAAAAAAAAAGAAAAGAAAAGAGAGATAATCTAATCACTGAAAAATAAATAGAAAGCAAAATGAAGTTCAGCAGGGACAACAATAAGCAGGAAAGAACTACCACGTGAAACTTGAAATATAAAAACAATTTACATAGTAGTCTCTTCTGTTCATTGTATAGGGATATGTTTGTTGATATTTGTCAAATTCATAATAATAAAAAGAAACATTTTAATAAATGAAGATGTTGAGAGAAAGAATATATATGTGGG